TCAATGTCAACTTTGTTCTAAGTCACAACTGTATATTTGACTTCCGCTCACCTAAATACGTATAGGCATATTTCAATAAAAAAGATAAAATGCAATATCTCTATGCAACAAGATAAGCTGCCGTGATAACGGTTCAAAAATAGCCTGGCACATGACTTGTAGTATAATAATGAGAGAAAATACTACAACTCCAAAATAATTTAATATAAAGATATTTGGGTATTGAGTACTGCTTCCATTATTCAATCTAAAACTGATAAATATTTTAAGAGACCAAACAACACCGCTCACCACCGCTCCACCCACACTAGTCAGGAGCGGGCGACAAGAGTACTGGGGGGGCCTCCCTCACAAATTCGCGCCCTTCCTGGAACCTTGGAAATGGAGCCATCCTGGAGCACCTGCTGACACCTGCTATGATTGACGTCTGCGTGAGGGGCGGAGCCAGAGACGCGAGGGGCGGGAGCTAGAGACGTGAGGGGATGGGGTTAGAGGCGCGCGGGGCGGGGAGAGACGCGATGGGCGGGGCACCAAAGCACAGGGGAGGAGCTAAAGGCGCCAGGGGCGGAGCTAGAGCCGAGAAGGGAAGCCGCGTGTGGACGCTGGAACAGGCTGGCGCTGTGCAGCCCCGAGCCGAGGCGCAGGAGAGGTTCCCCCGGAGGCCGGAGAGGGGCCCCGCTGCCCACACCCTGCTTTGGGAGCCCCGGCCTCCAGGCCCGTGAAGCAATAAATGTCCTGTCCTCAGCGACCTGGTTTGAGGGACTCCTTTACAGCGGCCCCAGGGCGTGGGGGGGGGGCGAGAAATCCACGAGGAATGAGATGCAGATGGGCAGGACACCACGCCCAGGTCCTCCCACTCAGCCTCTGGCTCCACCCCGCTCGTGGGGGCGGTCCGAGTGGCCGTGGGCCTCCCCTGCGTGGGCAGCCCCACCCGGAGCCCAGGACACCAGCCCCTTCCCTCCTCCTTAGCCCGCCGTTCTCTCTGTTTTATGTCAACATCAGCGTGCACAGTGCGTGCAGGGGGCTCAGATGCTGCAGCCCAGGCCCCCAGCCTTGTTCCCCAAAAACCTTTCATCTAAGGGGAGAGCGAGAGAGAGGAAACACGCATGCTCCCACCCACCGGTTCACTCCCGGATTGTGCGCAGGGCTGAGCCAAGCCAAAGCCTGGAGGCGTGGCTAGGGCATAAATACGGGGGGTGTGGTTGAATAATGAACTTGCAGGGGGTGTGGCTGGGTAAGGACCGTGGAGGGGGCCTCGAACTGCAGGGGGCATGGCCAGAGAGTGAAAAGCCAGGAACTCCATGCGCCACGTGGGTGGCAGGGGCTCCAAGTGCTTCAGCCACCATGTGCGTCCCCCGGGATACCTTCGGAGCTCCACGTCCTTCTCCACGGCCAAGCCCTGGAGCTCGCTGAGCAAGGCCAGCGCCTGCGTGGGCTCTGCGCTGCAGACCCCCAGCTCTCCCAGGAGGCGGCCTGGGAGTCCCAGCTCCTCTGTTTCCAATCCAGACCCTGGAAGGCAGCAGCCATGAGTACCTGGGTCCCTGGCACCCCCGTGGGAGGCACAGATGGAGCTCTGTGCCCGACCCTGCCCAGCTGTTGCAGGCCTTTGGGGTCCTGGAGTCCAGTCCTGGGAGGGCTCAGCCTCGCCCTGCACCCCACCTGCAAATACTGGAAGAGGATGCCTCATTGGAGGCGTCGCCTGGCTGGGCAGGTGGGGGAGGCCGTGGGCGGCGCCTCGGCGCTCATCTGTCCTCTGTCTCTCCGTTGGGCTCCAGGTCTGAGTCCAGGGCTTCCCGGCTGGCTCACACTAGGTTCACGCCCCTCTGCGGGCGCCCCAATCCAAGGGGCCCAGGTGATCGTCGTAGGTGTAGGACCCGAGGCTGGGGGCGGCTGCTCTGGAAGCGAGGGGGACCTCGGGGAGGGACCTTCAGGAGCTGGGAGTGGAGAGGGGAGGAGGGGAGGGGGCGGTGGACAGGGGGGCGCCACGCCCACGGGCGGGCTGGCCCCTGCACCCATGTGGGAGACCTGGAGGAGGCTCCTGGCTTCGGATCAGCTCAGCTCCAGCGATCATGACCATTTGGGGAGTGAACCAGAGGATGGAAGACCTCTGTCGCTCTCTACTTCTCTGTAACTCTGCCTTTCAAATAAGTAATCTTTTTAAAAAATTTAAAAGGAACCCCCCACCCCCCGCAGCACTGCGCCGCCCTTGGCCTCCGTGGGTCTCGGCCAGGACCCTCTAGGATGTGGAGGAGAAAGTCCGCTCCGCCCTCTTAGCCCCACCCCGAGCTCCGCCCCCTTATCATTCACTCCTCCCCCTGCAAACCCCGCCCCCTCGGCACTCACTACCCCACCCTGAAGACTCACTCTGCCCTCTTTCCCTCCCACCCCCAACCTACTCACTCTGCACCCCCACCCCAACTCCCCACGACCTCCCCAGCCACGCCGCCTGCAGTTCACCCCCCAGCGCATTTCCCAAGACACGCCTCCTGTATTAATAGCCCCGCCCCCTGCCCTCTCTGCACCCCCAACTCAGTCCCATCCCATCCCTGCTCAGCACTCTCAGCCACGCCCCTCCGTGGCCACGCCCCTGTCACGTTCACTCCCCAACCACACCACTCAGGCGCGCCCACCACAGCCACCCCACAGCCACGCCCCCGCTCCCATGCCCGCCCCTCCTGGGTCCCGAGAGGCACGTGCTGGGGATCTGCGGGGACAGTGGGCGGCACCAGGCTCCCGGGGGTGCTGAGCTAGTCTCCAGTGCTCTGTGGTGCCCCCAAGACGGGAGCCCAGAACTGGCTGATTTCGGGGTGCCCGGCAGAGATCTCATCCCGTGTTCAATTCCGGGGCTCCCGGCTGGGGAAAAGGGGCACCTGCTCGGATTTGTGCCTGCGTGTGCGCGGCACGGAGGCCATTCCTAAAACCGTGCAGCCGCTGTCGCCTCCGGAACGTTCTCCCCCCGGGAAAGGAGACCCCCCGCCACGCCATCAGCCCTCTCGCCCGCCCTGTGGATCTGAGCGCTCTGGGGGACTCCGGGTACGGGGAGTGCTCTGTTTCTCAGCCACGCGGCCCCCTGGGGCCAGCAGTACCCCGTCAAAGTAGAAGAGTGACCCAGTGTTCCGCCACCTCGTACCCCTGCCAAGGAGCCGCTGGGGGAGGAAGCCCAAATCAGGGTCAGCCCGGCCCCTCTGCCCTCTGCCCAGGCAGGCCTGGCCTCCCGGGGGGTGGCAGAGCTGAGATACAAGGGTCCTGGGGGCAGTTCCTGGGGTCTAGGGTCTGAGTGGGACGGATGGGTTAAGGGTGCACACCTCCCGGGTCCTACCAGGAGAGGGCGCTCAAAGCTGGGCATCCCCTGCCCATCCCCACCCCAGGGGGCGACAGGGCTACCTCCTCTGTACCCCCACCCACCACAGAGCAGGCATGAGAACCCCAGGGCGCCCCCACACCAGCCTCATTGACGAAGAGCAAAGCTGGTCACCCCCAGCCTCACACCCCCTACCCCGCCCCCTCTGCAGGCAGGCAGTCCGTCTTTGCCCAGAAAGGCAAAACCAGCAAAAACCCGACAACTGCGACAGGTGTCCCCCACACAGCACAGCAATCAGGATGCTGCACCCCGCCCGGGGTCACCCGGGAGGCAGCAGGGGGTGGCGCCAGTGCTGGGGCCCCTGCCACCTGCGTGGGAGACCCGGATGGAGCTCCTGGCTTGGCCTGGCCCAGCCCTGGCCGCCCGATTCATTTGGGGGAGTGAGCCAGGAGATGAAGACCTCTCTTTTTCTCATAACAACACTAATAATAAACGGTGACAACATTTCACAAAAGGCTGGAGCCCAGGTGCCTGAGCCCTGCCTGCCACTCCGAGATCCCCGCTTGGGCCTGCAGGCCCCTGGCCAACACCGGCGGCACCTGCCTGCCCTGCTCCAGGCTCTGGAGGTCTGCCCGGAAGCTGGACAGCTGGGGCATCCTGAGAACAGCCATGTTGGAGGTCGCTGCGTGCAGCCACCTTCTCACAGAGGGGGAGGCAGAGGGGACTTTGAGATGGAATTCACAGCCCCCAGCCCACACCAGCCCCCACAGCTGACATCCTGGGGTCTGTGCCCATTCTACAGTCGGGACAGTGAGGCCAGAGGAGGGTACATGGCTTTGCTGGAGACTATGATGTACTAGGCTAAGTCTCCATCTGTGTCGCTGGCATCTCACACGGGTGCTGGTTCGAATCCCGGCTGCTCCACTACCCATCCAGCTCTCTGCTGTGGCCTGGGAAAGCAGTGGAAGATGGCCCAAGTGCTTGGGCCCCTGCACCCACATGGGAGACCTGGAAGAAGCTCCTGGCTTCGGATTGACTAAGCTCCACCTGTTGCAGTCATCTAGGGAGTGAACCAGCGGGTGGAAGACCTCTCTCTCTCTCTCTCTCTCTCTCACACACACACACACACACACACCCATGTCTGTAACTCTAACTTGCAAATAAATAAATCTTTTTTTTTTAAATGACCAAAAGCCTAGTTAACATGTAAACCAACAGTCTAGTAGCTTATTGTCATTATCAAGTATTACAAGAGTTCCTCCAAATGTGTCATGAAAAAAAGAATTAGGAGATGCTGGTTTTGGCACAGAATCTGAAACCCACAAACCACAAAAAAGTATGCATGAGTTTCAAAAAATAGTGTGTGGCTCCTGTGAAATACTTCTGTATTTGAAAGTTAGAGTTACAGAGAGAGAGGGAGAGACAGAGAGAAAGGTCTTCCATCGGCTGGTTCACTCCCCAAATGGCCACACGATAGGATCAGGGTC